GTCCCACAGGAACAGAGTGGAGGGGGAAAGTTGGACAAACCTCTCTGTGCTTGGCAAATCACAGTCACAGAGCTGTCAGTGCCTGGGAAGAGAGCCATGGGGTGATGGACATGAGCACATAGCACGGTGGCTTGTCTTTGCTCACCCTGCATTACACTGGGAATTATTTTGCTGGCATGGGGAAAAGGCTGGAAACAAGGCAGGGAAGGAACACTGATGCTTGGACACCTCAGAAACAGTTAGGACATCTAAAAGGCTTTAGAAATCCCCAGATTAACATGATGGTGAAGAACGTGCAGAGGTTTGCCTAGTCCTTTTCTGAAGGTTCTGAGCTGACTTGGAAGTGCAGAGCAGCTGCAGAGGGGTTAAGTGTGGAGCAAAGCACAGGTGGTTTGGAATGAATGCTGTAGGTTCCTTCTGGTCTCGCAATGTTTATTTTCCCTGCCCTGAGATGCTAGAGAGCTGAGGATGGAATGACTTTGGGGTTTGATCTGCCTCAATTAAATATGCCTTTAGGGAAAACTGGCTTTAATTGATGCTTTTATCTATTTAAAAAGTGCTGTTAGAAAAAGTTGATTCCTCGTATTCCAAGTCCTTTAGCTCAGGGAATACTCGCAGAAAGTGTCTGTGTTCTTGTCCTGCGGTGCCCCTGCAGTTTGTGCCATGTGGGACACAGGCTGTGACAGTGCTTGTTGTGTGCCCTCCCCTCCCTCCTTTGTCTGCAGCCTGGAACTTGGGCGGTGTGTGTGGCTGTGCCCGGCTGGGGGGCACTGCTGGGAAGCACTGGCTGTGCCAGCAGCTGCTCTCAGCCCTCCCTGCCTGGGAAAGCCAAAACCATGCACTGGGGGTTTAGAGCAAGGCGAGTAAATACTCTGACAGGGACAAGGGAGAAGCTGTTAATAACTCTTTCTCTTTCTTCTCTTTTTCCCTTGGTTTGCTGCTTTTCCATGGTATCTCCTGAAATCCCTAGGTATAATTGGTAATAACTGATCACTGAGTGCTGATTTCCTTTAGCTAAAGGTGGCTGTAAAACTGGACATGTCCAGGAGCAGGTTGGCACCCTGATTGAAGGCTGGAAAATTCTGTAGCAAGATGATATTTACTCATGTGTTTCTTCACTCTAAATAGTTGTTTTCAGTCCAAGCAGGTAAGTGATTATCTCTGCACGCTAGGAAAAACTATTAATAAAGATGAAATGTGAATTCTGTATTGAGGGAACTGGTTGGGCTTCTTAAGCACCTTCTGGGGAGAGTGAGCAGTGCTGAGAGCAGTGTAGGAGATACACATCAAAATCAGTGCAGGGAAGGAGTTGATCAGGTCTCCCCTTGCACTCTGGAACTAACTGATACCACACTCCAAACCTTCTGGTTTGATACCTGCACCACAAATGCAGTGTTTGCAACCCCAGGGGAGGTATTTGCTGAGCGCTCTGCCCTGTGACAGACATTTACAGCTCCTTATCTCACTGCCCCTTGCGTGGGCCTTGTTCAGTGGCAAGTCCTCCTTTATTGCCACCTCCAGAGCTGGTTGTGGCTGCCTGCAGGGGGAGAAACCCTGTGTGAGGCTCAGGCCTCAGGGCACTGCAGGCAGTGGGAGCTGGAGGGCTCAGACCTTTACTCTCCTGTCTTCTTGTGCCCTGCTGGTGCTTCTGCATGGAGCTGGTTCAGAGAGCTCAGCTGGAAGAGTTTCCTCCCCTTTCCTCTCGGGCAGAGGAGGTGACCCAGTGCAGGTCCCTGAGCCTGGGCCTCACCTCCATGGCCTGGGGCAGCACTGCTGTTCACAGGCAGAGCACAGCTGGGGTTCCAAATATCCCTCTGGGGGCTGAAGACCTTCCAGAGCTTCCCCTGAGGAGTGAGTGTTTCAGCTTGTCCATGGTGTTGTGTTGGGAATGAAAACATGGCTCAGTTTGGGGATACTGGTGGTGTAAATGAGGAACTGTCACTGCATTGATACAAGTTGTAATTCTGTTTAAGTCTTGAAACTCCTGATGTGCTTTTCACCTTACAGTGCTGTTTTATTTCTGCTCTGTTCACAGCTGATATCATTTCAACAGTTGAATTTAATTACTCTGGTGATCTTCTTGCAACAGGAGACAAAGGTGGCAGAGTGGTTATATTTCAAAGGGAACAAGAGGTCAGTGACTCAAAAAACAAAAGTGCGGTTACTACACTGTTCTTGTGTTGCACAGTCTCACTTCAGCTCTCCATGCCTCGAGGTTTAAATGCTAGAGTTTCCCCTGAACCACCACCCAGAGTTAGCCACGTTCCCAAACACTGCCCTGTGCTGAACTCAGTGGGTTAGTTTGGGGGTTCCCCTCACTCTTGCCAAAACAGATGTCCCAGAAATGCAGGTGAGTTGGTTCTGTGTGTCCCTGCTGTGCTCAGGGTCACTTTGCAGAGCTGCCCTTGGACTCTCTCCTGAACCTGCCTCTGGGCCAGGCTGACCTGAGATAAATCCCAGTGCTTTGGGAGAGAATGGAACGAAAGTGTATATCATAAAATAAGCTGCAAGGACAACAGGAACAGGTGGTTCACGATCCTGTGCCTCAAACCCAGTGGGAACAGCCACTTCTCCAGAGGCACCTGAGCATTCCCAGTCCAGAGGGTGGGAGGGTTCCCCTCCTGCAGCTCCTCACTGCTCTCTGTGTGGGGCTCAGCATGCAGCCACTTCCTCGAGCCTAGAGCACCAGTGGGGACCGGGAACATGCTCCAAGTGCTGAGATAACTGTGCTGAGTATCACAAACCTCTAGGTGCTTGGGGGTTTTGCAGCAGAATCCCTCTGCTTTCCTCATATGGCCCCAGTGATGTCCAGCACTTTGCATTCCATCCCCACTGTGACAGTGCTCCCAGCACCTCTTCCCAGAGGTGAGTCCCTGGCTGTGCTGGGAGGTTACATGAGACCATGCTGTGAAATGTTACCCTGCTGCCCCCAGACAGCTCAGGGCTCAGCAATCGCTTGCTCTCTGCAGAGACTTAACTAAGGCACAGGGAGCTCCAGGGCAGAGCAGCTGCTCAGGGTCCCTGTGCTGCCTGGAGCTGCCATGGCTTGGCTCTCAGCTGCTCGTGAGGCAAAACCCTTCCTTTCCTCAGAGCAGGGAAATGAACACCCCCCAAGTCTCACTGTTCATGCAGGAATATCCTTGGGAGCACATCACACTGTAGGGAGGAGTTGGACATGAGATGTTTCTCTTGTCATGTGCAAAACTGCAGGAAAACCCTCAGATCAGTGTCTCATGCTGGAACCTCACAGTCTGACAGCAGTGTTGCACACAGCGTGGGTTTCAGCAAGGTTAGCTAGATTAGTGACAGCCCAGGGGTTATACAACTCCCCAGACACCTGGATTTGGGAAGGCACCCTGGAATGCTGTGCAGCGTGCCCTGAGCTCATATGACTTGATGGCACTTCCCAACAGCCAATTATCTCAACCAAACGTGAGCAGGGAGGGAAAGCACTGGTGCCAGCAGAGACACCTCCCTCCAGGGGCAAGGAACTGTGGAATGGGGTTAGTTGGGAGGGTCCTGTCCAAAGTTCTTGCAGGTAGGGAGTAAAATAAAGCCTCAGAGTGAACTGAAACTCCACACTGGTGAGACATTGCAGGGAAACTCTGCACAGTGGGGCTGTTCTCCAGCATAACCCACTAACTCCCTGAAAAGCCTGGTAACAAGTGTCTTCACATCTGATGATGCAAATCTGTAGGTCCTTGGGACTTTGCTCTCTGTTCCTTGCTCCCACATTCACAGAGGAGGATGACAGTGCAGGCTGTCGGTTCCCTGGGGGGCTGAGGGTTGTGAGAGGCTTTGGTGTGTCCTGATGGGCACTGGAGCACAGCTGAGATGAAAACAAGGTGCTTTCAGCCTGCAGCTGTTTGAGCTTTGACAACCTTCTGTTACAGCTCTAAGCCTTGATGGCAGTTCTGGGCACAGCAGGTTTTCCCATGAGCAGAGGAGCTGCTCCTGCTTGATCTTGCCATGCCTTCAGCAGAGTGGTGATGTACAGTCCTGTTTTATACAAACTCTGTGGAATTGCTCCGTGCCCTGTAATGTTTATTTCCTAGTCTGGAACCCCTAGTTATGTCCCTATGGCAGCGGTTGGAGGAATGAGGTTTGGAGAAGGACAGGAATGGAGTAAGGTGAAGTGCAGAGACTAACCCCAAGGATTTACACCATAGCCAAGCTCTGTGCTCCAGGTGTGTTGGGATCACAACCTGGAACTGCTGTGAGCAGACACATCTTGGACAGACCATGGTGCAGAGTGCTCAGGTGTGTTGGGCTCTGGGGGGCACACACAGCTAGAGACAGAGCTCTGTTTTTATAGAGGACTTCTCTGTGCACTGTGTGGGTGCTAAATAGGTACAGTGTCGCAGCAAAAATGGACAATTCCAGGTCTGAGTTTGTGATTGCCAGTTCCTAGGCATTGGGATGTGTGTGTTCAGGCCCTGCTGCCCCAGGCTCAGGGAGTGCTGTTCTCTTGCAGGGTAAGAGCCGTCCCCACTGCCGGGGGGAGTACAATGTTTACAGCACCTTCCAGAGCCACGAGCCTGAGTTTGACTACTTGAAAAGTCTAGAAATTGAGGAAAAAATCAACAAGATCAGATGGTTACCACAACAGAATGCTGCTCACTTCCTGCTGTCCACGAACGGTAAGGACCTCTCCTCTCCCATCAGAATATTTCTCACTAGGGGGGTTTGGGAGTGTTTTGGGGTTGGTTTAATGGCTTTAGTTCTATGCAAAATGTGGTTTGATTGTGATACTCTGGGAATTCACAGTGGATGTAAAGGCAGTGAGGCAGCAGCAGCACAGGCAGAGCTGGAGCTGAGTGCTGTGGCTGCTCAGCCCCTGCTGTGAGATCCCACAGCCTCTTGCTGCAAACAGCTCCCACCTGCTGCTGCAGCAGGAGGCTGAACTGGCCTCACCTTCCTGATTCAGGCACGTAACTTCTTGTGACCCCAGTGACATGTTGGTAAAAGCACTTGAAGCTGAGACACTGAGAGCTCACACAGCTCCATGTGCTCCTCCAGCGCTCACACAGTGTGTGGCCAGCAGCTGCTGCCCAGGCAGCAGTGCCTCCAGCTCTGGTGGGCACCTTCAGGTGCAGAAAGGCAGTGCAAAAATGACAAGGTTACAATTGGAAACCCCAGGGTTTGCTGCCCTTTGGGGGTTTATCTCTCCCGGTCCTTCAGCAGTGATTGTTAGGTCTGTAGGAGTATTGGGTCTGTTTGGTTCTGGTGCATCATGGAGCAGCTGGAAATGGAAATGCACAACTGGTGACATGGTTAGTAGGGGTGGGATAGTTGGATTTGATGTTTTAGAGATCTTTTCCAACTATTCTATGGGAAAACTAGCTCTTCTTGCCAGAGCAGTGTGCTTCTTCCTACCAGCTTGGATCCCTTTTTGCCCTGCGTTTAAATGGCTTTTCCTGTGAGGTCATATCCCACCTGCAGATGAAACTGGAAAAGCAGGAGTGACTTCTGTCTGCTGGGCTCGAAACTGCAATAATTTGCTTTGATGGCAGTCTGAATAAACTTAGAGCGTTCTCTGAGCTGGGTCATCCCAGATGCTTTAAAGCTCTGCAGGAGCTTGGGGAGGAGGCATTTGGTTCCAGTTAGCCAAGGATCTCACCCCCGATGTGCTCACTGGATGCACTTGGAACTCTGGCCCTCATAAGACCTGGGAAGTGCATTCCTTTGGAGCCTTAAATAACAGGGCAGGGCCTGCTCTCTGCTTTGCTGGCTCTGAGCTGACACCTGGCACAACCTTGGGCTCCCGTAGGGCAGTTAGTGTAAGGAATCCATTACTTCATTGGGCTTGTCCTAGTACTTGTCTGTTAATGTGCCTCAGATCATTGTTCAGGGCTTCGTGGGGGATTGGGGTGTGCAGCTCCCCCTGTGAAGGGACCTGTGGGTGAGTGGGAGGCACAGGGTGCTATTGCTCAGGAAATTGGGATTTTATTCCAACTGCCCTTTGGGGACAAGGAGTTCCCTCAGGGTCCTTCCTGCTGCCAGCGTGGGAGCCCAGAGAGGTCAGTGCTGTGCCCTCTGCTCACTCCGTGCTTAGTGATGTGATTCTGAACCAAATTCCTTCTCAAGCCTGTGAACCTTTGGTTTCAGATAAAACTATTAAATTATGGAAGATAAGTGAAAGGGATAAGAGAGCCGAAGGTTATAATCTCAAGGACGAAGATGGAAGACTTAGGGACCCGTTCAGGATCACAGCACTGCGGGTACGTCTCGCCTCGCTTCCCTCTGCATGGTCCTCTCTGTCCACCCTGAAATGTGCAGCTTCAAGTGGGGGTGGATCAGGGTCATGGAAACTTGCAGAAGAAATGGAGACACTTCACTGTAGATGAATAGAAACCATTCACTAAGGCCCCCTGGAGAGGCTGAGGGAAACTTCATGGTTATGGTACTGTATTTCTGAGAGCAAGAGCCAAAACTTGGCACTGGGGGCTGGCATTAAGCAGAGGTGTGTTTTAGGGGCAAATCCTGAGCATCTGGATAACCTGATGTGCACTTAGATAGTCTTGGACACTGTGCTGTAGTGGAAGCTCAGTGCTCCCAAGTTGGGATCATTTGGAGCAGGAGCTCAGGAAATGGAACACATGGGATTTCAGTGGGACAGAGCTGAGGCTCTCACTGCTGGCAGAGCCAGGACCACTCCTGCCCTGCAGGGACTCCCTTTTGGGTTTTGCTGGGGTTCTGCCTTGCTTTTGCTTACATTGACTGGAACTGAAGCTTCTAGTGTACATAATCCTGCTGGGAAAGGCTATCCCCTGCCTCTGGAACGTGGCTTTTCACTCAGTGTGGGAAAGCCAAGGGTTGACTGCAAATCCCTAAAGCCAAGGGAACAGCTTAGGATGCAGTGCCGGTGCCAGTGGTGGAAGCAAGTGCAGATGGAGGTTTGGCTGTGCAGCCCTGCCGAGCTGCAGGAGCTGTGTGTGCTGTGACCAGGCCCTGCTGGCACCTCCCTTAGCCCCTGCCATGGAAGCAGGAGCCATGGGCTGGGGAACAGACTCAGTCTGAAGGTCTCTTCCAGCCTAGATGGTTCTGTGCTCCTGTCGGCTCTGCTCCGAGGCAGAACCCAGTGCTGTGCCCAGTGTGACTGTCGTGTCCCCGAGCAGGTGCCCATCCTGAAGCCCATGGACCTGATGGTGGAAGCAAGTCCCCGGAGGATATTCGCGAACGCTCACACCTACCACATAAACTCTATCTCGGTGAACAGCGACCACGAAACGTACCTGTCTGCAGACGACCTCAGAATCAACCTCTGGCACCTCCAGATCACAAACAGAAGTTTCAGTATCCTTTCGTGCCCTCTGTGAGCATTGGGGGAGCAGCTGTGGCTGAGAGAATTGCTGCAGTGCCACCCGTTGCAGTGGGGGTGAGCCAGGGTTGCACCAGAGGTGCCGTGCAGGGAGGGCAGGCCTTGGGGTGCTCAGTCCTTCTGGTGCTTCCAGGGGAGAACCAGCAGTGGGAACATCAGAAAGACTTCGATTTCTGTTGAGGAATTGTGGGAGCATCCTTAATTTGTGGAGCTCAGTCGACCTAAATAAGAGCTGCCAGGTTTGAAAAGTGGATCATTTGTTACTGTAAATATTTCTTTCAAGGTTTAAGGTCTCTTAACCAAGTTCTCTAAAGCTTGGGGTAAGTAGATGAGGTTTATTCAGTAGGAAGCATTGAGGGTTGAGAGGACTTGTTGGAACTTCAGTGATCCATGTGGGATGTTCAGTGGTTCTGGGAATCTGGAATTGTCCAGCATCTGTAGATTTGAGATGGAGAGAGCTGGACAGGGACTTTTACTAGGGCCCGGAGTGCCAGGACAAGGGAGAATGGCTCCCCACTTCCAGAGGGCAGGGATGATGGGATACTAGTAAGGAATTCCTCCCTGTGAGGTGCTGAGGCACTGGCATAGGTTGCCCAGAGCAGCTGTGGCTGCTCCATCCCTGGGAGTGTTCCAGGCCAGGCTGGATGGGGCTTGGAGCACCCTGGACTGGTGGGAGGTGTCCCTACCCAGGGCAGGGGTGGGATGGGATGAGCTTTAAGGTCCAACCCAAACCAGTCTGGGATCCTGGGACTTGTCAAATCCCTCTGGTGTGCTGTGCACCCAGAGGAAGTTCAGCTTTTCCCTGTGACTCTTTTGCCCCCTTCCCTGCCCGAGCAGCCCCACAGTGACACGTTGTGTGCCTTTACCACTGCCCCAGACATAGTAGACATCAAGCCTGCCAACATGGAAGAGCTGACTGAGGTGATCACAGCAGCAGAGTTCCACCCACACCACTGCAACGTGCTGGTGTACAGCAGCAGCAAGGGCACCATCCGCCTCTGCGACATGCGCTCCTCCGCGCTCTGCGACCGCCACGCCAAGTGTGAGTGGCACTGCCCCTCGCAACCCCCCCGGGCCGGGCACAGCCCCCCAGGCCCTGGGTCACAGTCCCCTGGGCCGTGGGGAGCAAGCTCCTGTCTCGTCCAGGCCAGTGCCTGGCACAGCTGTAGCATGAGGCAGTTTCCCACCTGGCTCTGCTCCCTTTGCCCCTTTATAAACCAATGGGAGCAAGTGCCTTTAGCACCAGAGACCTGTTTTCTGCCCGCACTCGATCCCGGTGCTTCTCCAGGTGTCTGCTCAGCACATGCCCCTTCAGGGCAGTCGATTCACCTTTGTTAGAAGCTGGGCTGATGCCTACAGAGTCACTGTGCCTGGTGACCAGTGCAGCTTCTGGGACAGGGTTGATCCTTGTGGCTAGTGCAGCTCCTGGGGTAGGATTCAGATTAGATATTAGACCAAATTTCTTCCCTGTCAAGGTGTTCAGGCACTGGAATATTGCCCAGGGAGATGGTTGGAGTCACCATCTCTAGAGGTGTATAAGGACAGACTGGATGTGGCACTCAGTGCCATGGTCTAGTTGACGTGGTGGTGTTGGGTCATAGGTTGGACTCGACAGTGTCAGAGGTATTTTCCAACCTGGTGGACTGTGAGATTCCTAGGAGCAGGCACTGGTTGTGTCCAGGGCTGCAGGGACTGTTCCTTAGGCTCTGAGCCACCAAAGCCTGTGTAGGTGAGGAGGGAAAGCTTTGCTGTGGGAGGTGTGAGGGTACCTGCAGCTCCCTGCTGCAAGAGCTGTGGTTTATCAGTGTCACCAGCTCTGTGGGTACCCAGCAGGCTGATCCCTGCAGGGCACAGAATGGCTCCTTGGAGGTGCCAGGAGGTGTCTGCAGGAGGAGGTGGAGACCACAAGGCCACTGCATCGATATCCGTAGTGTTGCACTGAATCACCTAAAGAACTTTAGCCTCAGCTGCTTGTGAGTGGCTCACATCCTGCTCCAAGGGCTCCGCCCAAACCAAGGCTGTTCTGGGCAGCCAGGGAGTACTGATTTCAGAGGTTGCTCTTGGGTTCAAACAATCCATCCGTTCCCCTGCTCTGTAAACCCACACGGGCATGTTCCAGGTGTAGCTGCTCACGTTTCGCTGGGCTGTTAGCACAGCTGTGGTTCAGAGCTAAAGACAAGTGTGTTGTCCCGTGGTCTCCTGTGTCTGGGACACTGCTGTTCCCCCCTGCCCCGTGCGAGGTGCAGATCAGGTGTGATGCTTGTTCTGCACACCTGCTGGGCCACCCTTTGCCTCCTGCTGGTCCCAAGACCTGTGAGCTGTGCTGGAGATGAGTGTGTGGCAGTCTGGTGACCTAGAGCACAACAGTGCTTAAAGTAAGATTATTTCCAAAAAGTGCCAACAGCAGCTTTCCTCAGAAAGAAACTGCTGTATTGATGTAAAATTCTGCAGAGCCAAAAGACATTGGCGGTGGTAACACCTGGTGTTGGTTTCATCTGGAATTGTGTCTTCTCTCTGCAGTTTTTGAGGAACCTGAAGATCCTAGCAGCAAATCATTTTTTTCAGAAATAATATCCTCAATATCAGATGTGAAATTCAGCCACAGTGGGAGGTACATGATGACCAGAGACTACCTGTCGGTCAAGGTGTGGGACCTCAACATGGAGAACAGGCCTGTGGAGACCTACCAGGTATGGAGTTTTCCTGCTCTTAGTTCTGCCATTTGCCCATCCCCTGTGTGTGCCTAACCCCCATTCCCTGTCCCCAAGGTGCACGAGTACCTGCGCAGCAAACTCTGCTCCCTGTACGAGAACGACTGCATCTTCGACAAGTTCGAGTGCTGCTGGAACGGCTCTGACAGGTGGGACAGGAGCTGGGCTTGGCTTCCCGGCGAGAGTGCAGGGTTGGTTACTCTGAGCCTGAGGCTAAAGGGGCTCTGAGTTGCTGAGGGCAGAAATGGCACAGGCATTGCTAGCAGAGTGGTGTGCTCAGGTGAGACCTCACCTGCAGTGCTGCTCCAGCACTGGGGTCGGCACACAAAGCCAGTCCAGAGGAGGCACCAAGGTGATCAGAGGGATGGAGCAGCTCTGCTGGGAGCAAGGGCTGAGAGTTGGGATCATTCAGCCTGGAGAAGCGAAGCTTCAGAGAGACCTAATTGTGGCCTTTCTGTACCTGAAGGAGCCAACAAGAAGGGTGGAGAGAGACTGTTGACAAGAGTGTGGAGGGACAGAACAGGGAATGGCCTGCCAGAGGGCCGGGACAGATGGGATATTGGGCGGGAATTGTCCCGTGAGGGTGCTGAGGCACTGGCACAGGTTGCCCAGAGCAGCTGTGGCTGCTCCATCCCTGGGAGTGTTCCAAGCCGGGTTGGATGGGGCTTGGAGCAGCCTGGGCTGGTGGGAGGTGTCCTTGCCCTTGGGTGAGTTCTGAGCTTCTGTGCAACTCAGTCCGGTCTGTGACCTGTGTCAGGATAAAGGGACAGAGTAGCACAGGAAAACCTTAGCTCGTGTAAAGGTGAACCACGGCACAAGATGCCTGCTGAGTGCTAGTGGCAGGAGGAGAGGCCCAGGGAACACCTGGCAGAGGAAGAGGTGCAGTGGCAGCAGTGCTGAAGACCCTTGGGAACTGAGCAGTGGGATGTGCTGCCCAGGGAGGTGGTGCAGTCACCATCCCTGGAGGTGTTCACGGAACCAGTGTGCGTGGCAGTCAGTGCTCTGGGCTAGCTGACAAGGTGGAGATCAGTCACAGGTTGGACTTGATGGTCTTGGAGGTGTTTTCCAACCTCACTGAGTCTGTGATGGTGAGCAAAGGAGAGGAACAGAGTGTGGTGCCATGTCCTGGTCGTGAACTTGGTCTGACAGTCACCTCCGGTGAGAGAGGATATGGGTTGGATGTTCTTTCTGGAAGCCTAACACGATGTGCCCTTCTTCTGCCCTCAACCAGTGCAATCATGACTGGATCTTACAACAACTTCTTCAGGATGTTTGACCGGAACACGCGCCGGGACATCACACTGGAAGCCTCCAGGGAGAGCAGCAAACCTCGTGCCATCCTCAAGCCGCGCAAAGTGTGCACAGGGGGGAAGAGGAAGAAGGACGAGATCAGCGTGGACAGTCTGGACTTCAACAAGAAGATCCTGCACACAGCATGGCACCCCGTAGAGAACATCATTGCCGTGGCTGCCACCAATAACCTGTACATATTCCAGGACAAGGTGAACTAGGGATGCTCTGGGACAGCCGTGTCTGCCGAGGGAGCTCAGTGGTTGTGTCAGAAGGCCTTGTTGTCCTACAGTGAAGAACATTGATGCCCTTGCTCCCCAAAGCTGGCGGCGAGGCCGTGGCCCGGGCTGAGCTCCTCTGTGCCCGGTGGGTGGGAGTGCTGGGGGAGGAGCCCCCGGGGCACAGCGCGGACAGTGCCCACGCCGTGTATTTATTGACGTCCGAGCCTTCCTCTCCAGAGATAGACCAAAAATTGACCCCGAGGAGAAAGGTTGTCATACAAGTGTCATTTCTCTCTCTCGCTCTCTCTGCTGTAATATTTGGGCCTTTCAGAACATTTATTGTGCTTGATGCCTGTACACATTCCTCCTCTGGCCTGGAGCTAGTGTAGGGGTTTGACCTTGGAGCACTTAGGTAGGGCTGGAGCTGGGCTGGTAGGCAGGTGTCCATGGCTATTTACTCACCACCTCTATCTGTCCCCACACCTCCCGGTGTAAACCACTCAATAAAATAACAACTAGCAAACGTTTTTAAAGCTGGAGGTATGTGTTCAGTCTGCTCAGCCTTGTCCTGCATGTCCCCAGGGGAGCAGAGCAGCCCCGGGGCAGCTCTGCAGGGTGTGCCCCCAGACGGCCCTGGGCAGGCTGAGGCCAGCTCTTTGTGTTCTAGTTCAGGTTCTAAGTTTAGTTTCCTAGAGTTGGAGGTGCACTGGAGTTGTTGTCAGAGGCTCTGTGTGAGCAGGAGAGGGAAAGGGCCACAGCAGCATCCACAGCCTTAACCAAGCCTCGCCTTGCGTGGAGGGAACGGAACCGACGCCTCCTGTGCCCGAGGAGCCAGTGCAGCTCCTCGAGGCTCTGCCCAGCACAGCCTGACAGTGCATTATGGTTCTTAACCTTTTTAGTGCTTCTCACCGAGGGAACAGGTTCTTCTTTTAAGTGTTTGGCATGATACTTTATGGTTCTTGTTGCAGTTCCACACGGAGCTCAGGACCATGCCCAGGTGTGGCACGGCCCAAGGGCACAGCTGGCCTGAGGGCAGCTGCTGCAGCTCTCCTCCAGACTTTTTTTAAGCCTTAGGTACTTTTTCTTTTGGGGTTTTTTCTTTTTTTTTTCCCAAAGAGGCCTAAAACAATCCCATTGCTTCCCTTGCCTGGATGTCCCTGGAGGCACTGATGCATCCCTGAGCAGCTCAGAGCCTGCACTCTGCACTGTGCCTGCAGCCTGGGAAAAAAACCCTGAGCTGCCCCAGGAATGCACCAAGTGCGGTTTACACTCCGTTTCCCCGAGACAAAGGTGTGTTTAGGCTCGGAGAGCAAACTGTCACCGTCCCACCCCTCCCAGTCCCACCCCAGAGTGCCGGGGGCTTGCAGGGAGGGCACGGGGCAAGCAGGTCCTTCAGGAGGAGGCTCAGGGGGCTCAGTCCTTGCTGTGCGGTGGTTGTGACGCTCTGGAGCTGTGGGATTTGGGGTCCTAGCACCCGCCCAGCCCGTCCCCGGGTTGTACATACTGTTCAGTTCTTTTGACCAAAAAGTTTAATAAATTTTAAATGTTTACCTGCTCGTGCTCCGTGTGGTGTGATCACAGCTCCTCCCTGCCTGGGGGGGCTCCCAGATGGGATGAGGGGGAGAGGCTGGAGCTGCTCCTTGGGACACAAGGAGCTCTGGGTCGCTGGTCTGAGTCTATTTTTTCAGCAAATGTTAAGTGGAATATAAGTGAAGAGCAAAGGGACATGGTGGAATCTCCTACCCTACAAACCCTGTTTGCTTGTACCACTTCCAATTAAAAGGTTTTTGATAACTCATGGAAATTTTTATCCTTTCATTTTATCCCAAAACAGGTTTTGGTGTCAGATGGATAACCAGCTGCCCAGGGGAGTAGGCAAGGCGGGTGAGAGATGTCCCTGCCCAGGGCAGGGGTGGGACTGGGGGGGCTCTAAGGTCACTTCCCACCCACACCATCCTGATTCTGTTTTTCCTGGAAGGCTTTAGGCACACCAGAGAACCTGTTGGACCAAGGATGGAGGCTCAGCCCCTCAGCGATAACTGTGCCATGAAATTCTAATTAAAATGAGAAATTAAGGATGAGTGAGGAGGAAACCTATAAGTACCTGAGCCTGAGCAGGAGGAGCCACCCCAGGGGGTTCCTGTAGACAGGATCCTGCGGGAGGGATGATCCTAGTCAAAAAGGACACTCAGACAACCCCTCTGGTTTCCAAGCCAAGCAGAGACGTTCATCAGAAACCTTGGCTCAGCAGTAATTTGCTGTTCTCCCTCCCACAGCAGTGACACTCAGTGGCTTCTGACCCCACCTCAGCTTTTGTCTCGGGCTCCAGCCTCAGGTTGGCCATTTATGTTGAATACTAAGGAAAACACCTGCCTGGGAAGGGCTGTCCATCCCTGGCACAGCTGCCCACGGCAGGGCTGGGGTGACATACCTGGGGGGGGTTAGAAGCTTCTGCCCCCCCCTCAGCTTTTGTCTCGGGCTCCAGCCTCAGGTTGGCCATTTATGTTGAATACTAAGGAAAACACCTGCCTGGGAAGGGCTGTCCATCCCTGGCACAGCTGCCCACGGCAGGGCTGGAGTCACATCCCTGGTGGGGTTTAGAAGCCCTGTGAATGTGGTGCTGGGGACATGGTCAGTGGTGGTCTTAGTGCCGGGGAAGAGTTGGACTCAATGAGCTCAAGAGGATTTTCCACCTGAACAATTCCTGAGGATCAGGGAGTCTGTGGTTCCCCCATGCCTCCTGCCAGGTCTGCAGGGCCACACTGAGCCTCGTTTGAAGCTGTTTCTATAGAAACCTCTGACTTCATGTCATGTGCCCAGTGTGAAAGAGGTGCTGGGAAGGACGAAAGAGCCTCCTGAGCCCCTTTCACTGTTAGAAGAGAAAAGCAATGAGGAAACTCTGAGTCCACCAGGAACCTTTTTATTTAAATATATAAAACATGGTATTTGGCAAACATTCATCATCTCATTAAATAAGGTAGAATCACTGAGGGAAAGGCAATGCATCCGTAAAAACCAAGGTGAAGCCACTCGGGGACAGCTGCAGGGGCAAGGCAGGGGCAGGGCCAGGGCAGGCACGAGCCACGGTCTGTCAGCAGGGGCACAGGGAAGCTACTGTGGGGTCAAACAAACGTCCTGGCAAAAGCAGCAGTTTATTAGGCACTAAATCCAAATTCTACCTCTGAACTAGGACAAACTGAAAAGTTTTACCCACGTGCTCATCTCTTCCCTCTGTGTCTCCACACTTCACACCTCACACTAAAGTGAACCTTAGTTCACTTTAGTGAACCTCACATCTAGCTGAGGAGGAACTGCCCCAGGGCAAGAACAGCTCCTCGGAATCCCTGGATCTCCGTAAGGCCACACAGTAGTTTGGGCTCATCCCTCCCCGTCAGGACATTCCCACCCGGAGGGATGGAGCAGGACGGACACTCCATCACGAGGGCTGCGACAAGCTGGGACTGATTGACACGAACTGCTCTAATTCTCGGGTACTTCACTACAAAGCACTAAGGGATGTTACAGCATCTGCCACGTGCTCTAGGGATGCGCCAGCAGGGATGGCTCCAGCAGGCTCTGTGTGACACGGAGCTCCAGGCTCTCCCTCCCGTTGTCACTACACTAACACAGACAAGACACGACGACAGCGCCAGGGCCAACTCCCCACTCCCAGCTCTGCACCTCCTGCTCTCCTCTGAGCTCTGCTCTGCTCCCACTCCATCGCTCCCGGTGCTGCTAGAAGGAGCTGCTGGAGGCTGTGGTGGTCAGGCGCCTCCCGATGTAGATCCTGCGGGTGAGGAACAGGTCAGGAGGGCTGAGAACCACTGACAGCACACTGTCCCCATGGCACTGGCTCCAGTGCACCTCATTCCTGATTTCACTGCCTCTTAGTAATGCTGAGAAATTCCCAACTAGTGAGGGAAGAAAGGGGAAATCTCGGCCCATCCAGCAATACCACAGAAAGCACCTCCTGAACAACCATCTGCTCCCTTCACGGAGAGAAGCGACTCCTCTCTTGGACAAAGAGGGAACTGGGAATCAGTTAGACCCTGGAGAACACAGGTAAAACATCTGCTTTTCTTTTATAATGGGAAACCTACCCCAGTCCAATGGCCAGGAGGTGGGAGAGCAGCAGGGAGGGCAAGAACACCTTGAGGAACTCTGCGGAGAATATCCCTCCCTTCTTCATGACGCTGGTGTTCCTCATGCTGAGCGTGGCCGTGCGCCGAGGGTGCTTGAACAGGAACTCCCTGCGGGGACAGGGCACGGCGTGGGCACAGCTGGCAGAGCCTGGGCTGCAGCTCGCCCAGCCCTGCACAGCACTCACTTGGGAGGGATGTTCTCGGGCCTGCTGGACCAGTCCCATATCCAGTCCGCGTTCCGGCGCAGCAGCCGCTCCACCTCCCTCCTGCGCTCCAGGAAATCCTCTTCGGACTGCAACCAACAGCCTCCATCAGGCAGTGCTCTGCATCCAGGGCAGCTCCCACCCCTTCCCATCCCACTTCTGCTGGAGTGTGCAGATCCCAGAGCAAGGGGGACATGTCTTCAGAGGGGGATGTGAATGGCCAAGACCACATCCCCTATCCATATCCTACATTTGCTCAAGCAAACACTGCACTGGCAGTAAAATGTCAGAGCTGTGTTTAATCCTTATGGACAGGACCCGAAATATCCCCAGCTCCCAGGGCTGATGGAATTATTCCCAGCTCCCTGGGCTGACAGATCCCAGGCAGAGGGAGCTGCACTCAGAGCTGGGTGGATGGCACCAAAGCTCCGTGTCACTCCACAAAGGCCAATGAATCCCAGTGCTGGGAGATGCCCTGGGCCGTGCTGGGCACAGCAAGGTGTCCCTGGCTGTGAGCTCACCCCTGGGCAGGTAAGGGACCCCCAGCCCAGGGCTGTGCTGCCAGGGGAGCTGCAGCACCAGCGCTGAGCAAGAGCAGAGCTCCTGGCTCAGCTCTGCTGCATTCCCAGCAGCCAAGGGCTGGGGATAAAAATAGACTCTGCTCCCAGTGTAAGAACAGCTCCTGATGCACACACAGAGGGTAGAAATAAAACTGTCCAAGCAGCTGGGAGTCTGATGGATTTCAAACCAGGATTGTTTGTTCTCAGCCTAAGTAATGATCTGTGAACAGCTGAAATTGTTTCTGACAAGGTAAAATACAAATGACCATTTCCATGTTCAGGTAACCCAAAGGGTGAGTCCTTCAGCTCAGTCCTGCAGGAGCTGTAGAGATGATGGGCAGAGAATTCGCTTCCTTTAAACACTTCCCTCCTCAAAATGCTTTGTAAGGAATTTTTTCCCATAAAAGCTAATTAATGGCTGCGAAGGCTTCAGATTTCAGCCTGTCATCATCTCTGCACTGACACCACATGGTCTGTGTACAACATCCCTGCCCCTCTCCTGTCTCTGCGTGTTCACTCACTGTCCTGTAAGTATGCAGACAGACCTACAAACGGTAATCAGGAGTAAGAAGGAGTTTTCCAAAGCAGGATGTGCTCAGGTGAAGTCCTAGCTGTCAAAACTGGAATCCAGGCTATGGCAGGGCTTGAAATGGGCTTTGTTAGCTGTAGATATTCCCTTTTTAATTCCCAGTAAACTGCTGGAGGTGCTCCCTTTGTGAGGGATGCAGGGAATGTGCCCTGTTGGCAGTCAAAGGTGAAAAGTTACAGACTGAAAGATGACCAAACACACACACAGCTCAGGCCTAAGCACAGCTCGGCCTGCCAGGGCTGTCCCAAGTGACCAGTTATGGAAGGCTCTGCCCCAGCAGCTTCCCCAACACCCAGAGTAAGAATTCCCTCTCCCAAGCCAGGGCAGATCCTTACCTGGAAGCTGTTCTTCTCCCCACTGCTGTGACTCTCTATCTCCAGAGCTCTGTGGCTGTCCAGGGGGGTCTGGGAGCGAGGAGGGCTGGACAGACAGCACAGGGGAGACAGTCGTTGGGTTAGGACACAGTCATGCACTCACACCCAGAGGCACATCGTGCCCTGCTGTTTCCCTCCTCTGCCCCTCCTGCCCCAGAGCAGCAGTGACAGTGCCCACAGCTGACCCAGAGCTGACCCAGGGCTGCCCTGGTTCCCAAGGTTTGGAAGCTCCCTCCCTGCACAGTACCACTCACTCCTGGGCTGGGCAGGAGGCACCGACCCTGGGTGGCCCCTCCAGGCCACGTGGGAAGTGTTCCAGAGTCCTCTGCCTGTAACCAATCCTGGCCCCAGGCAAAGAGTGCTGACACCCCAAGCTGCACGGGGAAACCTCCCTCCCTGCCCCTCTGCCTGTGCTTACAGACACATGTAAACACACACACGTAAACACACACATGGACACGTGTAAACACGTGTGCTCATACAAATACAGATATATACCCATGTAAACACGTGTGCTCATACAAATACAGATATACCTATGTAAACACATGTAGACAAACATACACACGTAAATAGACATGTTCATATATAAACGCACACACGTGCATACATAAACACACACATGTACACACACAATGCACACATGTGACTCCAGACCCGCACGTGGCCCTGCTGTCTGTGCCCACCTGTCCCCTCTCCGTGCTCACCTGTCGCAGTGGGAGCTCTCCCTGGAGCTGCTCCGTCCCGACTCGTGCTGCGCGTCCAGCAGGATCTTCTCCATGTCGCCGTTGTGGATGGAGCGCGAGGCAGGGCCCTGCTCCTGCCCGTTCCCCGCGCCATTCCCGGCGCCGCTCAGCTGCAGCTCCACCCAGGACCCTGCTGGGCACATCGCAGAGC